CATATGAACAGCCTGTCCTGGTGCAGGCTTCAGACCTTGCTAAAACCTCTCAAACAAGCAGCAGCTGGTGTCAGCATGCCCCAAACCTATCAGTAAAAGGCCCAAAACCCAGCACTAGCACCAGCCTGCATTGCTTAATAGCTGGGCCTCACCTGGGCAATTCCAAGCTCAATACAAGTAGCAGCCATCTGAAGATCCCTCTGTAGCTCCTGCCTTGTGGCCCTAAGCAGTGGCTGATTTTGCATCTCCCGGAGGCCCCAGAGCCAGTGCACACAGTAGACAGCTTCAGACCATATCAGATTATAATTCTAAACATCCACAAGCAACGCACTCAAGAGGCAGACTCAGTGAGCATCAAAGCCCCACTGAAGCAAGTCCTGCTCTATAGGAGTGTCTCCTTTACAGAAGCTGTTCCACTCTAGTTGCAGCTGGTCTTCACAGCCAACTGCCCTAGAGGTCAATTCTTCCCAGTGATGCCAACAGCAGTCAGGGCTCAACTACAACAAGACTGTGCACACAGCCCACAAAGGGGAACACCTTAAGTTCCCAGCTCAGGAGACTGGGGAGGCTGAGCTACTGGGCCCTATAGGACACCCAACTACACAAGGCCACTCAACCAATTCCAGGAGATGTAGCAGCTCTACCTAATGCATAGAAACAAATGAAAGAAATGGAAGCAAGCAAACTACTGGACACAGAGTTCAAACAATGGTTATAAGTTTACTCAAGGATCTTAATGAGAGCCTCAAGGGACTTAATGAGAGCTTCAAGGGACCTAGTGAGACTTTTAAGGATCTTAATGAGAATCTGAGACATGAAAAAGGACCAGTCAGAAATAAAACATACAGTAACTGAAATAAAGAATAATTTACAGGTATTCAACAGTAGAATAGAGCATCCCGAGAACCAAATCAATTATTTAGAATATGAGGAAGCAAAAAATACCCAATCAGAAGAGCAAAAGAAAAATGAATCCAAAAATATGAAGATAGTATAAGGAGTCTCTGGGACAACTTCAAGCATACCAACATTCGCATTATGAGGGTGCCAGAAGGAGAAGAGAAAGAGCAAGATATTGAAAACCTATTTGAAGGAATAATGACAGAAAACTTCCCCTACCTGGTGAAAGAAATAGACTTACAAGTCCAGGAAGCACAGAGTCCCAAACAAGAGGAACCCAAAGAGGCCCACACCAAGACACATCATAATTAAAATGCCAAGGGATAATGACAAAGAGAATCTTAAAAACAGCAAGAGAAAAGCAGTTAGTTACCTACAAAGAAGCATCCATATGACTGTGAGCTGATTTCTCAACAGAAACTGCAGCCCAGAAGGGAGTGGCAAGAAATATTCAAAGTGATGAATTGCAAGGACCTACAACCAAGATTACTCTACCCAGCAAAGCTATCATTTAGAATTGAATGTCAGATAAAGAGCTTCACAGACAAGAAAAAGCTAAAGGAGTTCATCACCACCAAACCAGTATTACATGAAATGTTGGAGGGTATTCTTTAAGAAGAGGAAGAAGACCAAAAAAAGATAAAAATATGAATAATAAAATGGCTATAAATACATATTATCAACAATTGAATCTAAAAATCAAAATAAATGAACAAGAAATCTAATGAACAGAATAAACTGGTGAATAAAATAGAATCAGAGGCATGGGAACATGGAACAGACTGACAAATCTCAGAGGGACATGGGGAGGGGAGGCAGTAAGAGATTAACCAATGATTTTATATGCATATATGCATTGCCTATGGACACAGACAATAGGGTGGTGAAGGCCTGGAGCAGGGTGGGAACCGGGTGGAGGGGGCCATTGTGGGGGGTAGGGCAATGGGGACATCTCTAATAATCTTAAAAATAACGATTTTGTTTTAAATTAAAAAATATATTCTGGCATTAAATATAAAGGTAGGGAGTAAATTCAATAAAATTGGCCATGAGTTAATTATTTAAGCTTGGTGATAAGTACATTGGTGGGTTATCATACTCTTTCTTTTTTTTTGGTATGTATATTTTGTTTTTCATTTAAAAGATTATACTAGAAGGCCCTAGCGAGTTTGGCTCAGTGGAGAGAGCATTGGCCTGTGGACTGAAGGGTCTGGGGTTTGATTCTGGTCAAGGGCACATGCCCGGGTTGTGGGCTCAATCCCCAGTAGGGGGAGTGCAGGAGGCAGCCACTCAATGATTCTCTCTTATCATTGATATTTCTCTCTCCCTCACCCTTCCTCTCTGAAATCAGTAAAAATATATTAAAAATAAGTAAATGATTATATCAGATGGAAATAGACAAAATTGCCCAATTGCCAAGATTGAAAAAAAGAATTAAATTCTGGATTCTGTAATCTAGTAAGCTTGCTTTGAACCTTAAACACTATTCTAGAATAAGTTATTAAAAGGACAGTTTATAATCATGATATAAAGGGCTGATTATTAGAATCAAAAAGAGCTTGCTAAGAACAAATTGGTGTTTTTTTTGATGACTTTAATTTTTTTTAAAATATATTTTTATTGATTTCTGAGAGGAAGGAAGAGGGAGAGAGAGATAGAAACATCAATGATGAGAGAGAATCATGGATCGGCTGCCTCCTGCAAGTCCCCCACTGGGGATCGAGCCCACAACCCGGGCATATGCCGTTGACCGGAATCGAACCTGGGACCTTTCATTTTCCAGGCTGACGCTCTATCCACTGAGCCAAACCGGCTAGGGCAGTGGTCGGCAAACTGTGGCCCCTTGGGTGTGGCTCTTCCACAAAATATCACGTGCGGGCGCGCACGTTCAGTGAGATTGAAACTTCGTGGCCACACTCAAGGGGCCAAAGAGCCGCATGTGGCTCGTGAGCCGCAGTTTGCCGACCACTGGGCTAGGGCAAGAACAAATTGTTTTAAGTTTAACTCATTTCCTTTCTGAGTAGAATTTCCAGACACATCAGAATAAAACTATGATCATGATTTTGGCAAAGTATCTGAGAAATGATAGTCTTTTGTTGTTGTTGTTGTTGTTGTTGTTGTTGTTAGTCATCATCCAAGGATATTTTTTCCATTGAATTTTAGAGAGTGCAAGGGAGGGAGGAGAGACAGAGAGAGAGAAACATCAGTGTGAGAGAGACTCATCAATTGGTTACCTCCTGAATGCCCCTTGACCGGGGCCAGGGATCAAGCGTGCAACCGAGGTATGTGCCCTTGACTGGAATTTAATCTGGGACTGGGTCTGCGGGCCAATGTTCTATGCACTGAGCCAAACCCGCTAGGTTGACACAGTTTTTTGGGTTATATGATGATAATGACAGCGTGTTTTTGGTTAAGAGCTATGAAATCAGCTGATAAATGAGTTGATTTTAGTTTGAGGGAAGGACTATTGGTGAGCCACAGGATCTTAAGAGCTCATTCAGCATTCTTTTTTTTTTTATTATTTAATATTTTTTATTGATTTTTTCAGCAAGGAAGGGAGAGGGATAGAGAGTTAGAAACATCGATGAGAGAGGAACATCGATCAGCTGCCTTCTGCACACCCCCCACTGGGGATATGCCCGCAACCAAGGTACATGCCCTTGACTGGAATCGAACCCGGGACCCTTTGGTCCGCAGGCCGAAGCTCTATCCACTGAGCCAAACCAGTCAGGGCAGCATTCTTAATACTTAATTTAAATGATAGCTTAGGATGATGGGGTTTTTTTTTGTTTGTTTTTTAAATATATTTTATTGATTTTTTACAGAGAGGGAGGGAGAGGGATAGAGAGTTGGAAACATCGATGAGAGAGAAACATCGATCAGCTGCCTCCTGCACGCCCCCTACTGGGGATGTGCCCGCAACCAAGGTACATGCCCTTGACTGGAATCGAACCTGGGGACCCTTCAGTCCGCAGGCCGATGCTCTATCCAGTGAGCCAAACCGGTTAGGGCAGGATGATGTTTTATACTTCATACATTCCATTAAGCTGTAAGGAATAACTAGTGTCTTAAAAGAGAAAAATCAAGATGTAAATACATCTCTGTAGGCTAGAATAATAGACCCAAACCTGAGTGGAATTGACTATGATAATTGTAAAGTTCTGCCTTAAGATTCAGAAATGATTTTCACAATATAGGATGAAGGACATCTTGGTCATAGCTGTAAGAGATAAAAAATAATATTTTGGTAACCACAAAATGAGTATAAGCTGCCATTACTGTGTGATTGCAGAAACACAAATGTCATGTTCAGATGAATTAATGCAAAGATAATAACCTGTTTAAAAGGGGTGTAGTGGTTAGTTCTCAATGCACTGTTGTTTAATAATTCAAATATTTATTAGCCATGAAGTACTGATCTAATGTTGTGACTAAAAATGGACATCAACATGTAAACACATACACTTTCTGTTTGGATCCTCACTATCACTGGGAAATCATAGTAGCCACCTCCAGTTGAGAGATACAGTACTTAGAGTTTTAACCATTTGGTAGAATATTGCCAAAAGTCAGTGTTTTCTACAGAATCCTGCATCTGCATTTATTAAATGTGAAGATCCTCATGTTATACTTTCTGTCTCTACATATGATAAATCCAGGGGAACTTCTTAGCCACTTGAGGATATTCTATTCACCATTGTTTTTTATGCAAGTGGTCTGGGACATTCTTCACAAAGTCTCCCTTTTGAAATCCTTTGCCCTCTCAGTTTCAGGGCTGATAGCTGGTAACTTCCACATTCATTTACATTTTAGGGTTGTCACACAAACTAGATATTCACCCTAAACAGCTCCCCCCCCCCCCCCCCCCCCTAATATTGACCAGTTGGTATAAAATAAATTTCCAGCTTACTTTAGTGTTTCTTGAAGCTGCATTTTAAGAGATAAAGTATTTTGGTAGACAAAAGCATTTTAGAATTATTTTCTAAAATTTATATAAGTTCTTAGTTATTAAATTAGTAGTAAGATTGTGAATTTTTAATCAGTTGTTTTTTTAAGTATTAATGCTTATTAATTTAAACTTTTTTTATTGTCCTTTTCAGGGAATCTGGGAAAAATTGCAAAGTCTATGCCTTTAGTAAGGATGGGACCTTGTTTGCCTGGGCCAACGGAGAGAAGTTAGTGTTCATTTACATAAAATTTTATGTATGTGTCATGAATGTGAAACATAACCAGCATTATTTGAGTAATATGTATTTGGGTGTCATTAATAAAGTCCATCTTTTGATGTCATGATGCAGTTAGGTATTATCTCCAACATAATTTCCATGGCCTACCTCCAAAGTTGTTAGTTTATACTTACATGCCTGATTCATTTGAGTTATCTAATTACTTAGAATTTAAAAGTAACATATGAGAAAGGGTAGTTAATTTAATGCTGAATAACCTGAGAGGTTGTTTTAAATAGTGCTTTCGGTTATTGGGTTTTTTAAGTTCCACAGTAACACTTAGAAAATAATTCTTGCTTGTTCAAGTACTAGAAGCCTGTTGCACGAATTCGTGCACGGGTGGGGTCTGGCTGACCCTCCTCGATTGGGGTGGGGGAGGCCGATCAGGGGCGGGACTGGCCAGGGGGAAAGGCCATGGGCGGTTGGCCAGCCAGCCCCGCCCCCTGGTCGAACTCCAGGTAAAGGGGACAATTTGCATATTAGCCTCTTATTATATAGGATTTGTAAGGCATTCAAAAATGTTTAGTATAGTCTATATTAATATACATAAAGTAATTGAAAGTATGTTTAGTACAGTCTATATTACATAAAATAATCAGATTATAAAATTGATCTTGCAAAAAAAAGTATTTTGATTAAATGCTCATATTTTACTAAGAAAACCAGTCCTTTTGAATTTTTCCATAATCAGTATAATATGTCAGTTAACAGAATCAAAAAGATGCCCAAATATTTGTTGCTCGGTTTAAAGTTATTTTGTTGTTGTTTTTAACCAGATATAATATCTTTTTTAAATTTCTTTATTGATTTTAGAGAGGAAGGGAGAAAGAGAGAGAGATAGAAACATCAGTGATGAGAGAGAATCATTGATTGGCTGCCTCCTGCACCCCCCCTAGTGGGAATCGAGCCCGAAACCCAGGCATGTGCCCTTGGCTGGAATCGAACTTGGGACCCTTCAGTCCGTAGGCTGATGCTCTATCCACTGAGCCAAGCCAGCTAGGGCCAGATATAATATCTTAGGGGTTTTTTTTTTAAGGGGGAAAATACATACATTAGTCCCAAAAGCACATTTTAAATGATTTTTACACAGTGGTATTATATTCTGAAGTCTTTCAACTATCAGGTCACATTGGATTAAACACATGATTTTAAAAAATTAATGCTAAAAAGATTGTACTACATTAGTTGATTCACTTTTTTAAAAAAATATATTTTTATTGATTTTTTACAGAGAGGAAGGGAGAGGGATAGAGAGTTAGAAGCATCGATGAGAGAGAAACATCGATCAGCTGTCTCCTGCACACCCCCTACTGGGGATGCTCCCACAACCAAGGTACATGCCCTTGACTGGAATTGAACCTGGGACCCTTCAGTCCGCAGGCTGATGCTCTATCCACTGAGCCAAACCAGTCAGGGCAGTTAAATATTTTTAACCTTTTATTATTAAAAATATTAAATCAGTTTTTTTATTTTTTAAGTTATTAAATCCAACCAATAAACTACTATCAAATTATTAAGTATATAATCATGTTGAGTCTTATCCACAATGTTGACAATCTCAATCTCAGCCTTAATGAAAAATGTACTGTCAAGATTTTCTTATTACTTATTTTTTTTATTTATATTTTGGTGAACCTGTTGTGGGCATTTGGCTTTTATTTTTTTTAATATTTTAATTTATGCTATTTGAGTAATGAATTCATAGAAATTTACTGTCTAATGGGACCTACCATACTTCTTTTCATTGTCTGTTATCTTTTTGTGGTAACCCTATCCTGTTAGCTTAGAGTTTATTGAGTAATCTGTTTTTACCTTGGTAGTTATTATAATTATTTTATCTATTTCACATCTCCACTTGGCTTTCTCTTGGGTTCAACTCTGAATATTTTTTATTATTTAAAAATATTTAAAAAAATATTTTTATTGATTTCAGAAAGGAAGGGAGAAACCACACCAGCCAGGCATCAACTCTGAATTTTTTTAATATGTCCCCATATATGTCCATCTTTTTAATAGATATTTTCTGTACCTGGTTCTAGCATTTATTTCCTTAAGTGCTGTGGCTCAAAGACATATCATGTCCCTGGGGCAGGAAAAACATGTAGTGTATGTGGTCTTTGCTGAATTCATGGTTAACTAAGTCAGAAACTCTAGGTGATTTTTCCTTAAATATGTGATTTTTTAAAAAAATTTCAAAATAAACACCCTTCATTAAACATTCTAAGAATAACTATTCAAGGTTATCAACTACAAAAAAGAAAGCTTTATGTAATTCTAAAATATGAAATTCACAGTAAGTTGTAAAAAATCTCGTGTGTTAAAACAATATGCAGTAATCTTGCATTCTTACCAATTTCTGCTTATCCTGATCCAGTGTCCTCAAACTTGAATAGAACAAAGTAACTTTAAGGAATTTCTGGAATAAAATGGATTATATCTCTCTCTTTTTTTAACCCCAAAGAATACATAATAGCAAGTCACTAAGCTGGTTTTAAAGGTTAACTCTGGCATTTATCAGTAGTATGATCTTGGGCAAATCATCAAATCACTTAATTTTTCATCAAATCAGTTTTACCATTTGTAAAATTGAGATGATAATACCTATTTTATAAGGTGTTGTGAGGATGAAATGAGAAAATGTGCATAAAGTGATTAGACTAGAACAGGGTACATAGGAAGCATCAAAGAAAATGGAATCTGGTACAATTATTCTAATATTTATCATTATCATACCAAAATAACTCTTACAGTCTATCTTTTCAAGACTGCTTCTAAAATTTTAATAAGCATCCAAAGTCTCTTTGCTGATTTCCTCAGGGGATACTCAGTTTATACTTTTTCTGCTCAGCCAGTGTGGCTCAGTGGTTGAGCAACCCATAAACCAAGAGGTCACTGGTTCAGTTCCCGGGTAGGGCACATACCTAGGTTGGAGGCTCGATCCCTAGTAGGTGGAGGTGGGGTGGGGGGGATGTGGGGGTGGATGCAGGAAGCAGCTGATCGATGTTTTTCTCTCATCAATGTTTCTATCTCTCTATCCCTCTTCCTCTTTCACTAAAAATCAATAAAAACATATTTAAAACATACTTTTTCTGTGCAATGTGAGAACTAAAAAAGAAGGCAGCTTTCTACAAGTCAAAAAGAGGGCTCTCACCAGAAACCTAAGCTTCCAGCATCTTGATCATGGACTTCTTAGCCTCCAGAACTTTAAGAAATAAATAACTGTTAGTTAAGCCAAAAATAAAAATTAAAAATTAAATAAAATATGCTTTTGTTTTAGCATCTCTGTTTTCTCTTTGGTTTGATACATCTCATCTTGTCTTAGGTAGCTCTGTTCAATTAAAATCCTGTTGTGATTGTATCTTTCTATTAATTGCATGTAATTTCGAAACACCAGCCTTATATAGGGGCCTTTTGGTAAAATGTGTATTTTTTTTAGTTAAGGTGTTTATTGGATATTTTCTAGAACTAACTGAAAATTGATTTTATGAAAAATAGATAGAGTGATCTATATTTGAAAGAGTTAAATGTTTTTGTTAGTGCTGGCTATTGTGAAACAGTATTTTGTTGCTGAAGTAATTTCTTTTGAAACCAGAATAAATATTATCAGTGTCACTAACAAGGGACTACTGCACTCCTTCGATCTCCCTAAGACAGTTTGCCTTGAATTCTCACCAAAAAACACTGTCCTGGCAACGTGGCAACCTTACACTAGTAAGTATTTTCCAATTATAAAAATATTCTAACAGGCCCAATTCAATTCAGTGGGAAAAAATGAGAATTTATAACTTATAAGAAAGTAATTAGTCTTTATGATAGTAAATAGTGTGTAAATATTTTTAATCAACAGTGAATCTTGTATTCCCCAAATATAATGTACTTTAAATAATTGCATAGTAGGTTAATGAAAAGATCCATCATGAAATAGAGCAAAAGAAAAAGCCAAGGGAAATTTTATAAAGTAAATAACACTGGATAGAGAAGATCTCAAAAATTAAGAATAATAATAACCTTATAAATAAAAGCATTTAAAAAAAATGTTTTTATTGATTTCAGAGAGAGATAGAAACATCAATGATGAGTGAGAATCATTGATCTTCTACCTCCTGCACGCCTCCCACTGGGGATCAGACACGCATGTGCCCTGACCAGGAATCAAACCCTGACCTCTCCTGGTTCATAAGTTGATGCTCAACCATTAAGCTACGCCGGCTAGGCCATGTTTCTTTTTCTAAGTAGATAACTTTGAGTACTCACGTGCCAGACACTGTGTAAGTATTTTGTTATCATCATCTTACTAACTTCTTAAATAATGTGTATCTGAATCTAAAACATGTTTCTTAAAATAAACCCCGATACCAATTCCCAGTATTTTATTACTTATCTATGAAGCACAGCTATATAAAATGTTTATGTAACATATTATATCTCTAAAAGTGTTAGACAATGGCACACCATTACCTGTTCTTTGTCATACCATACACATTTCTTAGATGTTGAATCTACTCTACTTCCTCTTTCATTTATAATGATTATTTAAAATGTTTATTTTAGCTGGCCTGTGTTGCTCAGTGGTTGAGCATCAACAATGAACCAGGTTGCAGGCTGGATCCCCAGTGGGGCATGTGCAGGAGGCATCCAGTCAATGAGTCTCTCTCATCATTGATGTTTCTATCTCTCCCTCTCCCTTCTCTCTGAAATCAATAAAAATATATAAAAAATTAATTAATTAAAATAAGTAAATAAGAGAAATGTGTTCTAATTTATGTGGATATTAAGCAAAATATTATTATAGCTCCTTGTTGGATTGTAAACCTCTTGGGTGTGTTCTTCGAAGAGGCAGGGACTCTAATGAATCTTCTTTTTCCAAGTAAATAAAAGGGAAATTAAAAATCATGAGTCATATAACTCAGTGTGTGACTTAGAGATACAAGCTTTTATATAAGACAATTTAATTTACTTAACAGTAAACCTCACTAAACAAGAAATCTCTTTTAAGTATTCTCAGCTATCATATTGTATGGCTTTAGGAATGGGTGAGTAAATCCATAATTAAAAATAGTGGGGAAAGTTGATTTAAAGCAACTCTCTTACTTGATCTGTGTAACTTTGTTCAAATTGTTTCTAAAAATGACATCTTTTTTACTAGTGTTAGGAGACAATTACTATAAAAAAAAATGTTATTTCTACTTCAGCTTCTAAAGATGGCACAGCTGGAGTTCCCAACCTGCAACTTTATGATGTGAAAACTGGGACATGTTTGAAGGCTTTCATCCAGAAAAAGATGCAAAATTGGTAAGTAAATGTTTTAGAATACTTACTATTATTTACAAAATATTTTAAATATCTTCATTGTATAATACTTGTTTCTTTGGTATTGGTTTAGAAAATGACTTCTCAGACCAAAATCTAGATCTATTAAGAAATTTGGCCGTAACCGGTTTGGCTCAGTGGATAGAGCGTCGGCCTGTGGACTGAGGGGTCCCAGGTTCGATTCCGGTCAAGGGCATGTACCTTGGTTGCGGGCGCATCCCCAGTGGGAGGTGTGCAGGAGGCGGCTGATCGATGTTTCTCTCTCATCGATGTTTCTAACTCTCTATCTCTCTCCCTTCCTCTCTGTAAAAAATCAATAAAATATATTTAAAAAAAAAAAAAAAAGAAATTTGTACATAGGAATGTAATAAACACTTGATCTTTCTTTTGTTTAGTATTTTGTCTATTATATATACTGACTAAAACTATTAGTAACTGACTTAACATCATATTATAAGTATTTTTCCTTAAATAGTAAGCAATATCACAAATTTTAACATGTTAACATGTGGTATTACATTCTGTTTAAATGTTTTTTATATTTTCTTTTCAATGTAGGTGTCCATCCTGGTCAGAAGATGAAACTATTTGTGCCCGAAATGTTAACAATGAAGTTCATTTCTTTGAAAATAACAATTTCAGTATGGAAAGATTTATGAAATAATTTTGTTATTTACTATAAATGTATATAGTTTTTATTGCTTTATATGTATCATAGAGTTCTCTAAAATACTGTTAACATATTAATATTAATACATTGCTGTATATTTATATACATACTATATGTAAACATAAATATATTAAAATTACTATAGTAATTCATTTGAATAACTTATAAACACTAGTGAAATTTTATAACACAAAAATTTTCTTTTATAATAACTTCTTATTCCCTAAATTTCTATTAAACCAAGACATTTTAAATGTCTCTTTCTGTATTTATTTGCTATTGAAATTCTGTGATACAAATGAATGTTTTATTGTGTAGAATTTGAAACATAAATTAGACACCTAGTCCCAATAACCATAAACTCATTGCCAATCCTATCTTATCCCTCTGTCCATCTTCCATTCCTCTTACTCTGCTACAGCAAATCCTAGAGGTCATATAATTTTACCTATAAGCATTTCAGTATGTATCTCAGAAGATTAGGACTCTTAAATTTTTTATAACTTAGCCAAAAGACCATTATCTATTCAGTGTTAAATTTCTAATAATCAAAATGTTACAGTTATTTTAAAACTTATAATCCAAATAAGATTTTGCACATTGCAATTAACTGATGTATCTTGTAAGTTTCTTTTAAGCTACAGGTTCCCTCTCCATCTCTTTTTTTCCCTCTTGCAGTTTATTACTTAAACAAGCTTACTTGTCCTATATATTTTCTCATAGTTTAAATTGTATCCCATCCTATAATTTAACTTGTTCATCTGTCCCTTATTAGTAACTCATTTGGATCCAGAGTTGGTCAATTTTAGCATCTTTTCTGGGGGACATTAGGGTAAGATTACATCATAAGACAGTATTGAATTATTTTATCAAGAAGCACATACTGTCTTACTGTCTTTAATTTTGTAGGGTTAACTGACATTAACGTTCAGTGCCTAGATCCATTATTTCATGAGTGGTTGCGAATTGGTGATATTCTGATTATCCTCCTCCTCTCTCATATTAGCTGTACTACTTCTATAAAGAGAAATTTTCTCATCTACTATTTGGTTGCCTAGTAGTACCATATATATATATAGGAAAGGCAGGATCAATATTCTTTCCTTTTATCACTTTTGAAAGAATGAGTTCTTTCTCTGGCAATCTTCATTGCAACCAATTGTTCCCCTATTCCCCCTCCCCCCCATCTTTGTGAACTAGAAATTTAAAAATGTGTTTCAGTCCATTGCAATTATTATTCTTATTGATGGCTCAGATTATCCCATGATTGGTCAATTAGTCCTTAATGACTATTTTGCTATATAGTAAGACAAGCTGTTCTGAGACTACTGTGTTTATTATTTCCTGCTGTATACCTAGAATCAGTCATTTCTTTGAAATACTCTGGTTTCTTTTAGTGGAAAATGGTATTTAGAGACCACAATATGGGTGTGTGGGGTTTCGTATTACTATTTTGTTGATTATTGTTTTTAGGCCTTTTTCTTTCTTTTTTTTTTTTTTTTATATCTTATATCTGTATTGCCTTTTGCCAACACCAGGAATCCTGGTTCTCTGGAATTTCATTTGCTTTATTTCACACGAACCACATAATATTCTTAGAATAGCAATACGAACAGTAATACCAATAACATGATTACTGAAAATGATTTAAAGAAAAAGTTTTGCAATTCCTTTTGTCCTTAGGGTATCCCATTAGTGACTGTACACTTTTGAGTATATTACAGTAGAGTAGGAATTGGTAACTCCGTTAACATATACCAAAGGTGGCACTATTCACTTAATCTTTATAGCTGTACACTTCATTATCTTGCTTTTGAGGCTCATTCTAGCCCCCACTGATTTTGGGTTCACTTGCCTGCCTCTTTGTGAGCATGCCAAAAGAAGGGCGCTGCAATTTGGCAGTTTGGTGTGCTACTTTTGAAGAGCTGTTGATCTCTGAATTTGAACAAAGGAAGAATAACAGCTCTTAATCCCATTAACTAGGGAAGTAGTATTTTTCATAACATGGGTTCTGACTGCCTGGCACAGAGTTAGAACTCAAAAAAATGTTCACCACTGTTACTCTTTTTTTTTATGTCCCTGATTCATTATAATCACCAGTTCATTCTGTACATCAGATTATTTATTCACTTGATTCTTAGATTCACTTGTTGATAGATGCATGTTTGTTGTTCACAATTTGTATCTTTACCTTTTTCTTCTTCCTCTTCTTAAAGGATACCTTTCAGCATTTCGTATAATACTGGTTTAGTGGTGATGAACTCCTTTAGCTTTTCCTTATCTGTGAAGCTCTTTATCTGACCTTCAATTCTGAATGATAGCTTTGCTGGATAAAGTATTCTTGGTTGTAGGTTCTTGGTATTCAGCACTTTGAATATTTCTTGCCATTCCCTTCTGGCCTGCCAAGTTTCTGTTGAGAAATCAGCTGACAGTCGTATGGGTATTCCCTTGTAGGTAATTGAGTCTCTTTCTCTTGCTGCTTTTAAGATTCTCTCTTTGTCTTTTGCTCTTGGCATTTTAATTATGATGTGTCTTGGTGTGGTCCTCTTTGGATTCCTTTTGTTTGGGGTTCTCTGCGCTTCTTGGACCTGTAAGTCCATTTCTTTCACCAGGTGGGGGAAGTTTTCTGCCATTATTTCTTCAAATAGGTTTTCAATATCTTGCTGTCTCTCATCTTCTGGCACCCCTATTATTCTGATGTTGGTACGCTTGAAGCTGTCCCAGAGGCTCCTTACACTATCTTCGTATTTTCGGATTCTTTTTTCATTTTGCTTTTCCGGTTGGGTGTTTTTTGCTTCTTCGCATTTCAAATCTTTGGCTTGATTCTTGCGCTCCTCTGGTCTGCTATTGGGTGTAATATTCTTTATTTCAGAGCGTGTATGCTTAATTTCTAGTTTCTTTATCATAGCATCGAGGGTCTCATTAGTTTTCGTGAGGCTCTCCAGAAGTTTATTGCAAGCCCTCAAAATTGCGTTTTTTAGCTCTATATCCTCCATTTCTGTCATGTTTTTTTGTCTCCGCATTTTTTATGCTTTCTTGGTGCACCCCCTAGTGGTCTTTGTGCGCAGTCTTGTTCTAGTTGAGCCTTGATTGTTGTAGTTAATACTAGAGGGATTTGACCACCAGGCCGACTGGCTGTGTGAATCAGCTGTGTCTGCCGCGGAAAACTTCTGTCCTCTGGGGAGGTGCTAATCTAGCCTTTGCCTGAGGCGATCTGGCAAATGGCTCTGCGCAGGGCTTGGGCGGGGCGGGCTCAACAGGGCGGGCGGGCGGAGGGAGCGGTTATGGCCCCTCTCAGTCCCGTTCCCAGAGGCTCTGCTTCTCAGAACCCCCGGAACCGCTGCAAACCTCGGAGGGAAAGCTGCCTTCCAACTGATGCCAGACACTCCCGCTTCTCCCGTTTGGGTCCGAGTCCCCAGCGATTCGCCCGTATCTGGAGCTCAGAGTCTGAGACTCCCCCCTGACCGAAAACGACAACCGCGCTCTCAGCCACCAGCCCGCTTTGCGCGCGCACCTCCGCACCTGAGTATTTTCCACACTGCGCCTCCTCTGAGCCTCGGTGTGCTGTTATTTTTCCTTCTAGTTGAAGAGTCTCTCCTCAGCCAGCCTTCCTGCGGTTCTGGGTGATGTCCGTTCCGTCTTTTAGTTGTATTTTTGAAGTGGTTGTTTGCGGCAGCAGTCTGCGGTGTTTACCTATGCCGCCATCTTGGTCTCTCTCTCTCCCACCACTGTTACTCTTGCGATCATTATTGTCATGTAATTAGTTACAGAATATCTATATCCACATTTTATATTAGTCTAAAAGTCATCTTTCCCATCTAATGGGCTCTAAAACTACTTTATTTCAGAAGTTGAAGAGAAGGGAACTGATGTTTATTAAATACCTATTATGTGCCTGATACTGTGCTCTTAAAAACCAATCACTGGGAATTAGGTGTGTAATCTTATTACTTGCCCAAGCTCACACAGCTAATAAGTGACTGAGTAGAAACTCAAGTTAAATCTGTCTACTCCCACCCATGCTTTTTCCACTATTTTGCTCTGCCTCATCTATATGAGACTACAATGATCATTATTGTGTATAGTTACACTAACGTTTTAAAATGCATTCAGAATTTAGCATTCACTATTAGCATCTCTCATCAATCTAACACCATTTCCTTTTTTTTAGATACAACTGCAAATAAATTGCATTTGCAAAAAATTAATGATTTTGTGTTATCACCTGGACCCCAACCATACAAGGTAATGGCTATGTTTCTGTTTGTTTATGTGGAATATTATAAGATTAACCTCTTTTTTTAGTTTTTAGTGATATCCATCTTAGTTTATATACTTCATAAATTAAATTATTCATGTCTGTGTATCATAGGTGGCTGTTTACGTTCCAGGAAGTAAGGGTGCACCTTCATTTGTTCGATTATATAAGTACCCCAACTTTGATGGACCTCATGCAGCTTTAGCCAATAAAAGTTTCTTTAAGGCAGATAAGGTTACAATGCTATGGAATAAAAAAGGTACAATAAATATATTTTCTCTCATTTTGTTTATCAAGTATTGATTTAGACTTGATTCCTATGTGTATAGGAGAATGTATCAAAGCTTATTTAATGAACTTTTACATGGCTGTATTATATTGTTTAATATATTTTTTATTACCATTAGGTTAATTTGTGTTTTAAATCTAATTAAAGTTTTCACTGTTATAGCTACTGCTGTGTTAGTAATAGCTAGTACAGATGTTGACAAGACAGGAGCTTCCTACTACGGTGAACAAACGCTGCACTATATTGCAACAAATGGAGAAAGTGCTGTGGTGCAATTACGTGAGTATTTCAGCCATCTTCCTTTGATAAAAACATTAGGACAGTGAAAAAGATGACATAGCCCAGCTGGCATGGTTCAATGGTTGAGCGTTGACCTATGAACCAGGAGGTCACGGTTCTATTCCAGGTGAGCTCACATGCCCTAATCCCCAGTGGGGGGCATGCAGAAGGCAGCTGGCTGATCAGTGATTCTCTCGCATCATTGATGTTTCTATCTGTCTCTCCCTCTCCCTTCCTCTCTCTGAAATCAATAAAAATATATGTTTTTTAAAAAAGATGATATAATCTAAATTCTTGATCAGGTGATAAGACTAACATGTTTTATAATCTTTATGATAAAATTCCTCTTGATTAAGAAACTTAAAGTCATTTCCAGACACACCTGATTTTGGCATAACCCAGTTAATTTAGTTATGATAGTTCTTTAGTAGGAAACTTGCTAAGTTAGGTAATTCAGTTGCTGTAACTCTTTGGGGACTTATTGAACTTATTAGGACAGTAAGTTGATCTAGTGAATTTAGCACCATCTTCAGTACTGAAGAATGTTAGTACTTCATCTTTGTTTTGTTAAACTAAATTAACTATAGAATAATACAGATCTAAAATTCTGGCAACTCCCTAATTTTTTCATTTTGAATTGAACATGTAAAGAAAACGTTCTGATGAAGTCACAAACAAAACAAGGGTGACTCCCCGTTCCACTCTTAGTTAACATTCTGAAAGATCTACTTAGTATAACTGATCAAAAGATAACATATGTAACCCAGCTGGTGGCTCAGTGGTTGAGCTTCGACCTATGAATCAGGAGGTTACAGTTCCATTCTTGCTCAGGGCAAATGCTGGGTTGTGGGCTCCATCCTCAGTAGGGGGCATTCAGGAGGCAAACGATCAATGATTCTTTCTCATCATTGATGTTTCTGTCTCTCCCTCTACCTCTCTGAAATCAACAAAAATATATATTTTTAAAAAAGATAAAATATGCAGTCTTATTTATTTTTAGTTTTTAATCCTCACCCAGGGATATTTTTTTCCATTGATTTTTAGAGAGAGTGTGTATGAGAGAGAGGGAGGGAAACAGGAGAGAGGGAGAGAGAGAGAGAGAGAGAGAGAGAGATAAACATCAAAATTGGTTGCCTCCTGCACACACCTCAACTAGGGCCAGGGATCGAACCTGCAGCCCAGGAAATGCCCTTGACTGGGAATGGAACCTGAAACCCTTTGGTCCACAGACCATGCTCCTAAACACTGAAATAAACCGGCCAAGGCAAGTATGCAATTTCATTTATTTTTTTAAATTATTTTTAAATATATTTTTATTGATTTCAGAGAGGAAGGGAGAGGGAGAGAGAGAAACATCAATGATGAGAGAGAATCATTGATCGGCTGCCTCCTGCACGCCCCCTACTGGGGATTGAGCCTGCAACCCAGGCATGTGCCCTGACTGGTACTAGAACCCAGGACCCTTCAGTCCACAGACCGACACTCTATCCACTGAGCCAAACCGGCTAGGGCAAGTGTGCAGTTTTAAAAGGAAGAAACAAAATCATCTCTGCTCATAGATGAAGTCACCATATAACAACAGCCACTTAAACATAATGGAAGGGAAGATTTCATGTATGTATAGCAACAAAAACAAATAGTATAGGTCCGATGGGGAAAAAAACTTCTGAGGAACAAACTGTGACCTTTAAGAATTTTATAAAGATGTCATTTCTCTCCAAATTGATGTAAAAGAAATTAAAATGCCAGTAGATTTAACTAGGTAAGCTGATTCTAAAGTTGATACTGAAAAATAAACTTGCAATAATGTTTTGAAAACTGCAAAAGAATAATAGGATGGGGGGATTCTTACACTATTAGATATTAAGATGTAAGGCAGTTGTAATTAAGTCCCTTTGGTTCTGGCTGGTGAGTAGACAGGTAAACAATGAAACAGAACCAAATTCAGAAAGAGATGCACATTTCCATTGCTACTGCTATGTAAGAAAGTCAGCATTTGAATCAATGGTGGAAAATACTGATTTTTTAATATGTGGTATGGGAACAACAGTCTAGCTATTTGGAACAAAACATTAATAGTGTTGCCTCTTTCTGTGCACCGAAAGGTCACGGGTTTAATTTCCGATCAGGGCACATGGTGGGGTTGTAGGTTTCATCCCTGGTCTGCCAGAGGCAATTGATGAATATTTCTCACATCAGTGTTTCTCTCTCCCTCTTCCTTCCTCTCTTAAAAAAAAAAAAAGAAAAGAAATCAATAATGCTGCCTCTTCATCAAAAAAAAAAAATCCAGTTGGGCCAAAAAATTATATCTAAAACTATAGAACTAGAAGCAAATATTTGTGATTTTTTTTCTAAAAATGGAAAAAGACTTTCTAAAGACCGAAGTTATGAGGGAAAAGGAATAAATTTAAATATATAAAAGTTATAGATTTCTACATTAAGGGAAGAAAAGAGTTCAAAAATTAAGCAAAACAAACAATAAAAATTGGGGGGAAAATTTGTTTAGATTGCAAGGGATGAGTCTGAGAAAAGGTGAATATTGTTCTGTGTCAAGTAAAGCAATAAAAGACCAATAACTGAAGAAAGAAATGGACATGGAACATTAAAAAATAGTCCACAGAAAGAGAAATGAAATTATGTATAAACTAGAGGCCTGACGCATGAAAATTCATTTAAGAGTAGGCCTTCCTTCCTCTGGTTGCCAGCACTGGCTTCCCTACGGCACCCGGGACCCAGGCTTCCCTCCTCCGGCCACCAATAGGCACCCGGGACCCAGGCTGGCTTCCCTCGGGCCCCGGCTTTGCAAGGAAGGACGTCTGGAGGACTTCTGGTCTAATTAGCATATTGCCCTTTTACTATTATAGATTACTATTATAGATATATTTAAAAGGTGCTTAGTTTATACGAAAATAGAAAACAAAATACAGTTTGCACCTTAGTAGGTTGGCAAAAGTAAAAATAAGAAACTACAGAGCATGAGTGAGAGTGAGGGAAAACTCCATATTGTCAAAAGTTATTCATAGTGTAAATTAGTACGTCTTTAAAGGACAGTTTGGTGGTATGTCATCCAGTGACTGGGTGCGCCCTTTGACCAGGCAGTTGCACTTCTACAGATGTGTTTGTGAACACTCACAGAATTTGTAATGGAACATGGAACAGCTGAAAAAGAATGAGGCAGATCATAATACGCTTATGTGAAAAAATCTCCAAGGTAGAGTATTGAAATGAAGCAGAGGGTAGAACTTTGGGGTTTTTTGTATGTGTTTAAGAGAGAGAAGCTAAATTTCAACAAAAATTTCAGGAAGCATCCTATCTAATAATAGACAAACATGGTAATTGACCCTACCTTCACTCTGCCTCCCATTGGCTAATTAGCGCGATATGCAAATTAACCTCCAACAAAGATGGCGGTTAATTTGCATACGTAGGCTCCAAGCAGTGGAGTGAAGCCTGACGTTTCTGGGCCAGCGGAGCAGCGAGGCCTGACGTTTCCGGGGCCAGCAGAGCAGCGAGGCCTCATGGCCCCGGGGCCGGCGGAGCAGCGAGGCCTCACAGCTCCGGGGCCGGCTCTGGCCAGAACTCGGCCAGAGCGAAGGCCTGGGCCCTGGGTGCCGGAGGCAAACCGATGCCAGCAGCCAGGGGAAAGGAAGGCCTATTGCACGAATCTCTTCGTGCAACAGGCCTCTAGTCTTACCTAATAATGGACAAACATGTAAATTAACCATCCCTCCGCTACGCTAACCAGCAAAACAGGAGAGTATGCAAATTAACCCAACAAAGATGGCGGTTAATTTGCATACGTAGGCGCAAAGCGGCGGAGCAGTGAAGACTGAAGGCTCCCCGGAGCAAAGGCCTGGGTCCTGGGTGCCAGAGGAAAACTGATGCCAGCAGCCACGGGAAGGGAAGGCCTATTGCACGAATCTCTTCATGCAACAGGCCTCTAGTATGCAATAAATATACCAGAGAGGCCCTGGTGGATGTAGTTCAGTGGTTAGAGTGTCATCCCCCATGCAGATTCCTGATCAAGGGCATATACGCAGGTTCAAGTTCAATCCCCCGCTATGTCAGCGTGCCTGTGGGAGGCAACCAATGTGTCTCTCTTTCCTTCTCTCTCCCTCTTTCCTCCTTCCTTCCTCCCTTCCACTCTCTCTAAAAATCTATGGAAAAAATACTGTTGGGTGAGGATTAACCAAAAAAAAGAAAAGAAATATAACAGAGGTTTGCCTATAGTGTAGAGGGGTTTATTTTTGTGGCGTGTCTTTTTATATAGTTCATATTTTTATTACTATATGCATATACTACTACCTAGTTCAATAAAAACTAGTTGTTAATAACTAGTAGTAATAACCTATGCTACTATGAGCCCACATTGCCAAAATGTAAAAGAAATTAAGGTTTATTAGAGATTCTTAAATTTATGATTATACATTAATTTTTATATATATCATGTAAAAATATTTTAATTTTAACATACCATGAAATTTTCGGGTTTTTTTGTTTCGTTTTTTTTTTTTACTGTTTGACATGTTTGAGTGTTATGTGATTATAATTAGTGCTAATAAATATTATATTCATATAATTATTGCTAATTTGGGTTTTATATTATTTTTCCAGCAAAAAGTGGCCCCATCTATGATGTAATTTGGAATTCGAATTCTACTGAGTTTTGTGCTGTTTATGGTTTTATGCCTGCCAAAGCAACAATTTTCAACTTGAAGTGTGATCCTGTGTTTGACTTTGGAACTGGTCCTCGTAACGCAGCCTACTATAGTCCTCATGGGCATATATTAGTACTGGCTGGATTTGGAAATCTGAGGGGACAGATGGAAGTATGGGATGTTAAAAACTACAAACTTATTTCTAAACCAGTGGCCTCTGATTCTACATATTTTGCTTGGTGCCCAGATGGTGAGCATATTTTAACAGCTACATGTGCTCCCAGGTTACGTGTTAATAATGGGTACAAGATTTGGCATTACACTGGCTCAATCTTGCACAAGTATGATGTGCCATCAAATGTGGAATTATGGCAGGTTTCTTGGCAGCCATTTTTAGATGGAATATTTCCAGCAAAAACAATAACTTACCAAGCAGTTCCAAGTGACGTACCCAGTGAAGAACCTAAAACTGCAACAGCTTACAGACCCCCAGCTTTAAGAAATAAACCAACTACCAATTCCAAACTGGTAAGTCAAGTTTACTACTTTAGTGGGAAAAGGTTTTCCAGTGTGTGGAGCTTTCTAGACCTTTTTTTCCTCAGGCATGTGCTTGTGTTACTTAGTACCTGATGAGAATATAAACTCTAGGGTAGAAACCATGGAGAAACCATTGCTGAAAATGGTGAACAGCTCATATTAGATTGATAGAGTAGTTAATTTGAAGCAATTCACATTTTGCATGTCTGGGAAAGATAACTGAGTATATAACATACCAGCTTTGCAGACCATGGGCTCAAATTCAAAGGCCTGCACAGTGTAAGACCATGCTGACTAGAAGAGATCATGCCCTCCTTAAAGGCCACAGCAACCACACAGCAGTAGTTCATTGTTTCCATAGGAGATTTTAGTCCCACTTTGCCAAAATGTTTGATTTTTCAAGACTAAACAAGTCTGGATGTTTATGTAAAGTTTCTGTTTCTGAAACACTGTTGCTCAAACAAAACATGTATTGTCCTTAGGCCATCAGTTCCTAACTTTGTTGTAAAGTTATGACCAGAGTATTGTTCAGATTCTTATCTGCTCTAAAATGTGAGTATTTCAGAGCTCAGGAGAAGGCATTTGTAAATTAAGTTTCTGTGGTGATGTTAAAGAATAAAGGTGCTCTGTAAGTCTTTCTATTATCTATTAGAAAGGTGACAATACAACAGGCTGGGACTGTTCCAAGTAAATGGTGTTATACAGCTACTTCATTAGTAAGCACTCAGGAAAGTAATACTTTTTTAAAGGATAAATATTCCTATGCCTTCCTTGTGCCACTCCTTACCCTCTCAAAAACAAAAGAACCACTGTCCTTCTCCTTAAAATGTAGCAGTGGTCTGTAACTTCTTAAAATGTTCTGTTGAAAACTTTTTGTTGTATTATTTAGTAAATATATATAAAAACTTATTTAACCAAGTAAGCCCTATTTATGATATTTTTATTAGGCCAAAAAAAGAAAGTATATTGTAATCAAATTTGTCCCATGTATATTGAGATTTTTCTTACCTAAATTGAAAACAGGAATAACCTCAACCTATCCTGCTTTCTAAATTCATGTCAGATAGCACAAGAGGAAGAAATTCTGAATTGGTGTGTATTTTTTTTCTCCAATCCATAAAACTAGTTTGTTTTGGTGGAGGAAGGTAGAGAAATTAATATAGAAAAATTATAGTTTGAAAATTGTGATAAAACTAGGTAAGAACTTCTTAAAACCAAAATTTTTTAGCATTTAAGATTTTCACTAAGCTTTCGCTTTTGTATGTGACATGGTAATTATGTGATCCTAACAAATCATTTTAGTCAGTAACCACTCATGAGAAATTTTTGTTTGTATCTAATTACAGAAATTAGGTAAATGGCAAAGAAAATACTGTCAAGAAATTACTAGAAACAAAGATATTCTAGTTGATAACTTCACAAAGGAAGGGGGTTACATAGCAGACAGAAATAAAAATGTTGGGATTTTTCCCCTTGAAGAAAAAAGTTACTTTAAAAAAAATTTGTATATATATATATATATATATATATACACACACACACACACACACACATATATATTTTATTTCAGAGAGGAAGGGAGAGAGATAGAAACATTAGTGATGACAGAGAATCACTGACTGCCCCCCACTGCGGGGGATCGAGCCCACAACCCAGGCATGTGCCCCTGGCCGGAATCAAACCTGGGACCCTTTAGTCCACAGGCTAACTCGACGCTCCATCCACTGAGCCAAACCGGCCAGGGCAAAAAGTTACTTTTTTATAAGTAAACTTTTTTATATAAATTATACTTAAGGAACTATTTATTGGCTTTCAAAAAAAAACCACCTTCACTTTTATTATATATTCATCAAAACAGTCACATAAAAATTGATATAACTGAAGAAACAAAATTTATTGCTTTTTAATCCTCACCTGAGGACATGCTTAGAGAGAGGAAGAGAGAGAGAGAAACATCAATCAACTAGAGGTGCCCGTGCATGAATTCATGCACGGGTGCGGTCCCTAGGCCTGGCCAGCAATTGAAGCACGAGCATCTGGCATGGAAGGGAAGGTCCCAGCTGACCTCTGGACCCTGGGCAGCACCTGGGCCCCCACGCGCCACCCTCCACCTGAGTCAGGGTGCCTCCCACCCCCCACACGGAGTTGCGGTGAGCGTGGCTGGACACTGTAGGCCGGGGCACAGCATGGGCCTCTGGACCGCCCAGCAGCGCCACACGGAAGCCGGGTGGGCAGCATGCTCTCTCCAAGCTGGCCTCGCAGACCAGCTCCTATGTGAAACCACAGGGAGCCCGACTGGCCCCTGCGGTCCCCTGGCGGCTGTGGCCCAGCTCACCCAGAAGAGGCTGCGCAGGTGCAGGGTGGGCTCCTCGCAGGTGCCTGGCACCTAAGCGGGAGGACTTCCCCGGCACACGAGCCCTGGTGTCCCGGGGGAGGGTAGCAGGGGGAGTGAGAGTGAGCTCAGTGGACACCCCACATTCTCACTGCACCTCTGTCCCCGTCACCCCCACCCCCAGGTAGCTGGTGAGAGGTTGCAGAGCATCGCTGATGCCCGCCATGTTCTGCACCGCCCCCTGGTGGTCAGTGCACGTCATAGTGAGAGATCGAACTCCCAGTGGAACGACTGCCCAAGGGGACCATTTGCATATTAGGCTTTTATTATATAGGATTGCCTTTCGTACATGCCCCGACAGGGGATCAAACCCAATACCAGGAATGTTCCCTGACCAAGAATCAAACCTGCAGTCAACTGAGCTATTCTGGCTGGGCAAAGAAACACATTTCATTAGTAAGGATGAAATATGTACAGTGGTCACATAGAACTAAAGCCAGAAAAGGTCATGGTGCTTAGGAGCTGTGTGGATTTTTTGTTTGTTTTGTCTTAACTGAAAGTCTGTCAGTGGCTACATGGTTTGGAAGAGATTTGTAACTCATTCTTTCTTCTTGCATCATTTTTTAATTGCTTTGTCATTTTTTAAAAAATATTTTTATTGATTTCAGAGAGAAAGGGAGAGGGAGAGAGAGAGAGATAGAAACATCAATGATGAGAAGGAATCATTGATCAGCCGCGTCCTGCACATCTCACACTGGGGATCGAGCCTGCAACCTGGGCATATGCCCTGACTGGGAATGGAACCGTGACCTCCTGGTTCATATGTCAATGCTAAACCACTGAGCCATGCCAGCCAGGCAGCTTTGTCCTTTTCTGAAGTTCTTTTGAAATGAGTAGAAACTTTCTGCTGAAGCAAGATACTATACAAGAGACCACTATTGAAAGGATTCAGATGTATAAAACAAATGATCAGCACATTTTAGTATATCTTAAGTCCCATTGCACTCAGAGTAGAGACAAAAAAAGACGTGACAGAGGCTTATCCTCCAAGTTTCTCTGTTCTACAAATGTGGGTTTATATATACAGGGTGGAGCAAAAGTAGTTTTACAGTTGTCTGTATGGAAAATAATATAATAGCCCAGCCGGTGTGGCTCAGTGGTTCAGCATCAACCTGTGAACCAGGAGATCACGGTTCAATTCCTGGTTAGAGCCTGTGTTACAAGCTCAACCATCACGGGGGGACGTGCAGAAGGCAGCTGATCAATGATTCTCTCTCATCATTGATGTTTCTGTTTCTCTCACGCTCCCCTACCCCCTCTTTCTCTCTCCCCCTTCATCTCTGAAAGCATCTCTGAAATAAAAAATATATATTTTTAAAGAAAGAAAATAATCCTATATAATAAAAGGCTAATATGCAAATTGTCCCCATGGGCGGGAGTTTTACTGACCGGGAGTTACACATGCGCCAACCACCAGGGGGCGGCGCAGAACATGTTGGGTGACCACGACGCAGCGCTGGCAGCAGGCAGCAGTGGAGGCACTGCCGGCCCTGATGAGCCTGACAAGAGTGGGACCACAGCGGGATGGTGGAGCAGGTGAGCGGGCGGTGCCAGGCCAAGGCAGGTGCAAGCGGGGGCCCCAATCACCCTGCTGCTCGCCCACAGATGGCGATGGGCGGCAATGGCAGGGGGCGGGGCCGGCGAGTGGGCGATGCCAGGCCAAGGCAGGTGCGAGCAGGGGCCCAGATCACTCCACCGGTCACCCCACAGATTGGCCCTGATTGCCGACCAGGCTTAGGGACCCTACCCATGCACGAATTTCGTGCACCAGGCTTCTTCTGGTCTCTCTATATAAAAGCCTAAGCGACCAAACAACCGGTTGACCGGTTGCTATGACATGCACTGACCAACAGGGGGCAGACACTCAACGCAGGAGCTGCCCCCTGGTGGTCAGTGCACTCCCACAGCCAACCTCCCGTAGCTGGCCAACCTCCCGCTGCCCCTGCCCCTGGTGGCCAACCTGTGGCCCTGATCACCAACCAGGCCAAGGGACCCCACCTGTGCACGAATTTGTGCACTGGGCCTCTAGTACAATAAATAATAATAATACAGGAATAAATTCTGTATTTCACGTACTCACAACTGTAAACCTCCTTTTGCCCCACCCCGTACTCAGCAGCTCCAAGTAGGAAATTTATATGCACAGAATTTTAATGATCTGAAATAGTTAATGCAGCTGTTAAGATAAAGTCACTATGGTTTCCTACTTATTCCTCTGTATCTTAAATGTTTGAGCCCTGCCCATTTCCTGATAGCACTTTCAAGTTCAACACAGGTCTGAGATCTAGTACTCAAAAACTTCATGAAGATCTGGTCCTTTGATGTGCAAGTATGATAGAGCCTAAAGAGACAGTTAAAACTAAGATAATAGCAATGTAGATAGAATCAGTTGTTAGATGAATTTTTTTGTTTTGCGTGAAAACATTTCAGTTCTCTCTTAGCAAATTTCAGTTATACAATACAGTGTTATTTACTATAGCCCCATCTTCTACATTAGATGCTCCTCGATCCTATACTTAATTCACCCTCTTTCTGTTGTGGAATGTAGTTGATAGGTGTTTATATAAATATCCGGTGATGGAAATTACTATTTTCATTGTATAATCTGACAAGTTATTTAGTTTTTTATAGACCATTATGTTAATCCTAGATTTATAATTATGCAGTCACTTATTCCTTCCTATTTGATCTGTTTTCTTGATGTCTGTTGTAGGTTTTCTATTTACTTTTATTTTTAATCTCTTAATCTCTGATTTTGTAAGTAAAGATCTAGCAAATAATTCTTAGTTCAAAGAAAATAAATGAGGAAACTGAGTTTCTGTTTGCAGTAGTCAGATCCAAAAAGATTCCAGAAGAAGTTATTGTTGGTATCTAATTTAATTTCATAAGGATCATGTGTCAGTAGTAATACAAAAAAAAAAAACAAAAACAGAAATATTCCAGCCCTGGCCAGGTGTCTCAGTTGGATGGAGCATCGTCCTATACACCAAAAGTTGGTGGGTTCAATCCCTGGTCAGGGCACATGCAGGAGGTAACTGATCGATGTTTCTCTCTCTCTTCCTCCCTTCTTCTCTGTAAAAATCAATTTTAAAAAATTAAAGTAAGTAAATTCCATTGTTTAAACAAAATTGAATTTTGCCAGTTCTTATGTAAGATACATCTATCAACTAATAGGCAGAACCTCATTAAATCCACCCTGACAGTTGGAATGTGCCTACTACTAATCAGAGTTTTGAAATATTCTTTGCTGGTAATCTTAAATTTGATTAAATAACTTTATCCCATACTAGCCAAATTGTGTAATTTGTTGTGTATGTTTTTTAAAACATGGACTCTATTTCAAAATTCTTTCTTTTACATTTTCTATAGCATGAGGAGGAACCTCCTCAGAATATGAAACCACAACCAGGAAATGATAAGCCATTATCAAAAACAGCCCTTAAAAATCAAAGGAAACACGAAGCTAAGAAAGCTGCAAAGCAGGTATTTGGGGATACTAATCTCTTCAAAACAAAATCTGTTAAATTAGCTTCAAGCCTTAAAGTTTTGTTGACCTAAAGACTTGACTGTTATGTTGTAAAATAATGTTGGAGTTAGACTTACTTAGAATGTCTTTCTTTTGTGTTTGACTATGAATTTTTAAGTATTCTCGTGTATATAATAGGAGAGTAAGGAAACTGCATCTGACCTTAAAACCTGAAACCCTAATGGCATTATGTAGTACTAGTGGCCCGGTGCACGAAATTCATGCGGGGGGTGGGGGGGTGGTCCCTCAGCCTGGCCTGCACCCTCTCCAATCTGGGACCCTTCAAAGGATGTCCTCCTGCCGGTTTACAGGGATCGGGCCTAAACCGGCAGTCAGACATCCCTCTCACAATCCTGGACTGCTGGCTCCTAACCACTCACCTGCCTGCCTGCCCGATTGCCCCAACCACTCTGCCTGCCGGCCTGCTCACCCTCAACTGCCCCCGACCTCCGGCCTGCTCGCCCCCAAATGCACCCCTGCCAGCCTGATCACCCCCAACTGCCCCCCGTGCCAGTGTGCTCGCC